TTTTCCATTTGAATACATGTTTGTTGGAGTATTTTTTCTGCATTTGTTACGTCAGGCGTGGCGGTTCGCTCCATCGCTTCCATGCAATAGTTTTCCGTTTGCGTTTCATGTCATGGTCGATTTATTTGTGTTCTCATGATCGATGAAATCAAAATAATAACATAAGTTCGTTGCTTCATATGTCGTACAAATGGGCCGCTCCTCCCATCAAAATGGTGCCGATTTTGAACACGAAGAAAAAATGTTGAAGGAGGTCCCACAGGACGGCGATGAGGCAGTCGCTGCAGACAAAAAACGATTGGTGCTGGCGCGGAAACAACGTTTTCCAGTGTAGTTACGGTGCGAAGTGCCAAAATTAGTGCTTTAGGAGGTGCTAGCCGTAATGGCTAGAGTGGGTGATGAACAGCATGCAGCTGTACGTAGGGAGCGTAGGGCCGCCAGATCGCTGAACAGCTCGAGGCAGCGAATGCTGAGCTTAGGAATAGGAGAGCCGTGCAGCCTGCTGAGCACCTTAATGGGAGGAACTCAGCAAGGAACACTAACTTTCTTCTCTACTGAAGTCGAAAAAGTTCTTGGAAATGGCCCGTACTATTTCAGAATCATTTGTGTCTGTACCATAAGCAAATGCTAATAGCCCATGAGTTAATCGGTGAAGTAAGGGTATTAAATGTGCTGTGACAACGAAATGAACAAAATCGTCTTGAATATCATGAAAACCTAAACGGAGGCGTTCACAATGGGATTGTGCCAATGAGCTCGAATATCGTGCTGATGGTGTTTAATAATTAAATCTCCCGGTGTACCATAAGCTGTATGTGTATAAATCCAATGAAGCGGGTCAGTTCCGAATGGGTTATGCGATGAACAGAGGATGTTAAGGAGACGTAATGCTCACTGTAGACGATTAGAATTTCCGCCTTTTAGACGACCAGCTTTGCGGGCAGAGGCCGTTGGTCTATATATTTACTACTAGCTGAAGTACCCGGCATAGCCTGGAGAAATTCATTTTTAATTATGTTATGCATGACAAATTGGGGAACGATAGCCTTATGGTTTCCTGTAAGTTACGGATCGTGGGTGTCGCAAAATGTGTTTGGACCCCTTTCCCCTTTTTTTTCCCCATGCAAAATTGCTCTTGCAAAAGGTACTAATTTCTATTAATTTCACCACCCATTATTTGTTGTGGGATCAACGTAACAAACCCTAAAGTGCAGTGCTAAAAGTCCATCTCTGGCTTTGTTTTATGATTTATGTATCATTTGGATTTTTCCATGCCCACATGTCGAAAATGGAAGTCGAATGTCCCATTTTTGGTTATTTTTGCGAACTTTGGCCTCATTTTTTTTACGGTGTGGGGATCCAGATAAAAAATATGTATCATATGTCCAATGGTAGAGCATTTCGAGATGCATTCAACCACATTACTTTCGGTCTGTTACAGTCAATTATCCAAATATTATGAATTTTCTCATGTTGGTCGGTTCTGGCCTTGGCTCACTTCAATATGATCAACTATGAAAACTGGTTCAACTGTTTAATTTGTTATATTTATTTATTATTTAATACAGTTCTTATTATGGTATTTATTCTCCATTAAATAAAGCTGCAGGGGACTTACAGCGCCTTTAATTGCATTACAATTGCTTAATATAATTTCATCCACATGAGCATATTGTTCATCTAATTCTATCAATACGTTCATAGGCTGTGAAGATTTGGTTATCTTAGGTTGGAGTTTTGCACGGACTGGCAGGCTCTTGAGGTGTCACGAATCCCATCACATGCTCTCACTCACCCTGCGATGGTGCAAATAAATTAAATAAAGCATGTAATTGGAAATTTTGTCGATGGAGAATGAGGCTTCTTAAGATGTTTTCTTGTACTGGAAGGCAGCCCTATTAGTGAAGCACCTTCTTGCAATGTGGACGACTTCGTTTGAAACGGCTGAGAGACGCCTTCAGGAAGTTGCACTGCAGCTTGATGATATTGCTAGTGTTCAGAAATGAAGCTCATTCCAAGATCTACTGATTACGATCGATGAATGACCACAATGGGCTGAACTGTTGGTTGGGTGTTGCTCCAATGAAAGGAATGTATTGCATCTTGGACAACAAATCCATAATTTCCTTGGAAATCCATAATCAAGAAGCATTGTGTCATTTGCCCTTCAGTAAAACTGAACAGTGGATTCTTGAATAAAAACAGAATATTGCTAATTGTAGATATGTCACATTGGACAATTACATCTACAAAAGTAGAGGACGCTTTTGCTAACCTCATCCATAAGTTAACCTATAAATGTAGAATCTGATGAACCAAATGCTTAAATAGATCATATCATATAAAGGTATTGTCCCCGCTATAAGTTCCCTGCAGCTTAATTTAATGGAGAAGAAATACCATAATAAGAACACCATCAAACAATAAATATAACATAAATTAAACAGTTGAACCAGTTTTCATAGGAGATCATATTGAACTGAGCCAAGGCCACAACCAACAGGAGAAACTTCATAATATTTGGATTCCTGACTGTAACAGAACGAAAGTCATGTAGTTGAATAGATCTCGAAATGTTCTTTCCTTTGACATATTATGCATATTTTTATCCGGAACCCCACATCGTGAAGAATGAGGTCAAAGTTAGCCAAAATAACGAAAAATGGGATATTCGACTTTCATTTTTGACATGCGGGGATGGAAACATCTAAATGATACATACATCATAAAACTAGGGCTGTCACGATAGGTCGATGCATCAATACCATTATCGATAGTTGAAGATATCGATAGTTTTTTCGACCATCACGATGCATCGGCAAAGTATTTTAAAGGGCAAATGTCTCATTGGGATTAAGGCGAGTACAGTACAATACCTGTACAGTCCGTTCGGGCGGGGAAAGGAAGAAGAGGCGTGACCCGCATGGGCTTGCGATTTATTGTCACAATCAAATTCTGGAAATGCTGGGACTGACTATAAGAAATTTGGGAAGGGAATAAAAAGTCGGATCGGAGACAGGAAGTGAGAAAGGAGAGGGGGGAAGACCGAGAAAAATTTTTTTCTCTTCCGTTTCTGTTTTCGGCTCGATCTAATCAGGTGCATGCTACGTAAGTGAACTGTTCTTATGCTCCCTTGATATCGAAACCTACATTGGCTACTCCGCTCTCTATATTCCTATCACTTTAGTATGCAGGCTTAATATTCTTAATTTTTAACTTGCATTTATCTCTACTTAAGGTGAACTCAGAGTGAATATTGTACATTGACGTTGCTGATACTAGGGCTGTACCGACGTTTCGGCAACCGCCGGTATGGAACCATCAGCAGGTTTCCTATGTGGCGGTGCCAATGTTCAAAGACATTGTAGAACGAAGAAAAAGGGAAAAATAATTACGTGAACCGGGCTTGGCAGCTGATTCTCAACGGCAATAGGGAAAATTAGGGTTGTCCTGATGCATCCATCGATGAATGGATGTCATCTTCGATAGGTAGAGGCATGGTAGGTTTCATTACTCTTTGCGAAGGTCATACATTCCCCTGCACTCCCGACAACAAGCGTGAGATAATAGAAGCCCGATAGAGGTCCGCGCTCCGATCGCGGTGAGAAAAGATGGAATCCTCCCGCTTCCCCCCCCCCCCCCCAAACGAGACATCGATACCCGGGGAGAAAAGATGGAATCCCCCCCCTCCCCCCCCCCCCCCCCCAAACGAGACATCGATACAATATCGATAGTTCAGGTCGATGCATCGATATTTTGAAAACTGCTATCGTGACAACTCTACATAAAACTGAGCCATTCATGGACTTTTAGCACTGCAACTTTGGGTTTGTTACGTTGATTCCACAACAAATAATAATTAATAGAAATTAGTACATTTTGAAGAAATATATGTAATTCAAGTTTCAGGGCACCATAATTTTCGTGGGAACAATTGGATTCTACTATTTCAGACCTTTCATATGAGCTTTTCCATGCATTTCAAGCTAGCATAGTTTGAGTTATGAAATTCCCCGGATGGGTCCCACGTTCTTGAAAACCGATTTTTTTCGACATTCATATTTCATGTACCAACTGGAATAAAAAGCAAATATTTCGGATTTTGGATTTCATGTAAGACTGAATAATTCTGAACATTTTCAATTTTTTTCTGAGATGGACGAGCGTCATCCCTCGGTCAGTTGGCATGGAATACCAATTGTGTGACTCTATGAGAATACCATAGGTAATTAAAATCGGTAGCCTACAAATAGATTGACGACACACGGAAAATGACAGCATTTTTTCATTGATTTTATCTGTTTTTTTTTGGCCTACCCTGTTTATCTTCAAAACTCGGACCAGGTGATGAAAGTAAAACTTTAAATGTCATCATAACGGAGATTTGCATGTAGTACGTGTCACAAACAAATATATAAATGCGATTAAGGAAATCACAGCGATATTTATGCTATTGTTTATGAGGAAAAATGTCAAATTTTCTGCCATTAGTCTGCTCTGCATCATGAACGAGTTGAAAGAAACTCGAAGAGGCACCTCAATCATTATAAGCTCAGTTCATTCAGCACACATGAGAATATGCTCGAAAATTCGCTTTGCGACGTAATTTCACAATAAATATTTCAGGGAACCTTTTTGCACACAAACGAATAGCTCCATTCGACGAGAACGTCCTCCCACGATGAGGAAACCATGACCGCACACTCCGAGTAGGAGCTGTCCTGGGGAAATTCCAAATCCCATCTCTCGTAAGTGAGCGGAGATCCGTCCACCCACCTCCAGTCCCCGCTGTCGTCCTTGACGAGTCCTATCCAAACCTCGGCACTGCCGAGAGTGTCCCATATCCCACTGACACAGGCAGCCAAATGCATTTGTGGATCTGCGCCAGAGACACTCACCATCAGGAGTCAGGAGTCAGGAAAGCCTAAGCAGTATTCCCTCGCTTCTTCGAAATTCATTCTGGAGCTCGATAGATGAACAAATAGCCCACTACAATTTTGTCAATCAGAATCGTGAGAAACTTGAGAGGCACACAGAATCAGTCGCTTTTCCCTGCAATCGCGATTCTGCCACTTGTCAGGAAGCATTATAATTCCGCATTCCCCCTCCTCATCTCCGAGAATCCAAGGATTTACCCCTTCCCATACATTATGGTAATCCTCGGGAGTACCATCGATGAACTCAAAGTTCCATGGATCTACGTACAATCCTTCCCCTGTCGTCTTTGCACCGATCAATAGTGAGGCCCTCTTTGCATTTTCTTGCATAAAAATCTGCTCTGATCTCGAATGGATGCTCGCTAAGTCCGCTCCATTAGACAGGCAATAACTCCGAGCGTCTGCAAAGTTCTTCTGATTTTCGGAAAAATAATAGCAGTATTGATCGAATTCCTCCCAGCCTTCGTCGCATCTGGAAGCCGTCATGTAAGACAGTTTAAAACGATACCCGTGTTCGCTGCTAGCATCCGAGAAGAACCTGACGGTGAGTCGGTTCCCGACGGATTCGAGCATCCACGGGTGATCCCGGCCGCAGAAGGTCCGAGACTGGCCCTGCGGGTCCGAGACAGTCAGGAAGTCTCCGCTGATGCAGTCGGACGTGTCTTCCAGGTTGAAGTCCACGAAGGATAAAAGGATCTTAAGGGTGGGAGGGGCCTGTGGAGAAAACATAAACGAAACCTTAGTGCATATATTCATGAAGTTTCTTCCTCGACGGTGAAAGTTTTCCATTTCCTGAATTTGTCTGAATTTCGACCTCAATTTTCCATTCGCAAGTAGTGCTGGGTGGATAGGATTCCGGATATGCGGGAGAAGCGATTCCCCATGGGATTCAGTCAAAATTCCGCCACATTCTTGGGCCGCCGACCCGCCCAATGCGCACAATAGTCCCAAAACGGGAAAGAAAGTACCCTAGGAATCCATAATGCAAGCGTATTGTCAAATTAGCAATGAATTTTATATGTTTCGATGAAATCTCTCGAAAGTAGCTTACCAGGATCATAACGGAGCTGGCAAACCACACGGATATCTTCTCTGCAGATCTAGAGGGTGCATGCAGAAGGGAGCTGGATTTTTGTCAGAATTCGAGGAAATAAAATTATCGCGTTGTCCAGGTGCATGGTTACGGATGGGAACCAACACACCTGCCACATCAGCCTACTCATATTTATGGCTATATTTTCGAAACGCCAGACTCCACCCACATCCCCAGCATGTTGAGACCTTCTAGTTAGATACCCACTGGCTGAAGGAGGGGGGGAGACGTCTACCTAGTTCGCAATCCAATCTCTAACCCCTTGGCTGGTCTAACCGGTTCACTCACGGTGGATCCAGGTAGACGTTATCTAAGAGCGGCTTCTATAGAAATGATGACGCATCAGAAGAACAGAAATTCTCAAACACCGCAGTAAATCCCACGTCTATATAAAAACTCTCACTCAATTTCTAAACATATGTATTCAGCACTCAACAGTCCCACAGTTGTTTAAAATTGCCAGAATAATTCCAATCCATAAGAAAGGAAGCATGCAAAATCTCTCCAACAACAGACCTATCTCAATATTTCGTCATTTCTAAAATACTTGAGCGTCACATTGCTAGCTCCACTTATTCCTTCATTTCTGAATCAAGCCTCTTCCCAACCAATCTGGATTCCGACCCCACTACTCTTGCCAAACAGCACTCATCAAATTCTGTGATGTGATGTGTGTTTACAAACGTGGGCAACGGAAACTTAACTGATGCAGTCTTCCTTGATCTCTGCAAAGCATTTGACTCAGTCCCCCATGACAGGCTGCTTGCTAAATTACCTCATTGTTACATATCCCCTACAATAGTGGCATATTTTAAAAGCTGTCTCAGGGACAGGTCCCAATTCATGAAAATGGGAAACAGATCCTCAGCAATCCGACTAAACTTCCACATTGGCGTGCCGCAAGGTTTTGTTCTTGGTCCCCTGTTATTTATCTTATACATTAATGATCTTCCTCAAGCTATCACAACTGCACAATTGACCTTTACGCAGAAGACGTAACCATATACTTCTTATCCACAAACCATGATGAAATCGCTCCTAATCTTCACTAAAACCTTGACAGACTAGCTAAATGGGTCTCCCACAACAAACTTACCATTAACCCGGGAAAAACCAAAAACTTACTGTTTGGAACCCACTGCCGTCTCATTCAATCACAAAACACCACCTCACTTCAGCTAACCATCAGCAAAACAATAATAGAACAAGTAAACACATTCACACTACCAGGAGTAACTCTTGACTCCCACCTGAACTTCACTCCATACATATCTCAACTCCGTCATAAGCTTTAATCTAAAATTTGCATGCTTCGCATGGCGAAACGCCTACAGCTTCCACCCCATACGTGCCTGCTGATCTACAATGCACTAACATACCTTCACATTACCTATGCACCGCCTATTTATTCCAGTGCTAATAAACTAGCCTCGAACTCAATCAACACTGTCTTAAAACAGTGTATTAGAATTATTCACTCAAAATCCGGGCACCACCCCACTCTCCCTCCTCACTAATACTATTGATAAATAAAGCAATAAATGGCTCTACATTGAAGATCTTTAATCCTACCCCATCCCCCAACTTATGCACAAAATCTTCAATGGAACTGCTCCTAGTTGCCTCTCATCATATCTCTCTCAACCAAAAAAATACCGCATACTACCTCCACTCCCACACATCGATGAAGTCATGCCTCCCACAAACCCCCACAAAAACATCCAGAAAAGCCTTAAATATAGGGGCACCAAGCATTGGAACTCCCCTCTTCTTAATCAATTAAGATGCTCCCCCACACTACGCATATTTAAAACTGACCTAAAAAAACGCTTATTAGTACAATACACAGCCTAACCACCCTCACACTTCTCTTTGTATTCTCTTCCCATTACCTTTTGCACAGTACTGTATATTGTCTCCTAAGTTAAAAATGCATTATTGGCAAATTGTATATGCATAAGTTACCCCTATGTACTTGTTAATCCTTTCATGTTAAAGCCTCCCCCCCTGAGCACCAACAATTGAACTCTCAGCTGAGCCCCCGTATAGCCCGATAATGTGGACAAAAAATCATTCCTTCATTCAGTCATTCAACCTTGAAATGAGACTCTTCGAGTATTTGCCATCGTTTGTGGAAAAATTGCATGAACCCTACAATGTAGTAATCTTTATTGTGATACAAAATGAATAAATAAAGATGTATCCGAAGTTGAAGTCGGTTTTTGAACGACTGATATTTTGCGGTTTAGATTAATTCATTTGCTGGAAATTTGCATCAAGACAATGTAGCGTCAAAAGCGGAGACATAGATCATCCACGTTCCCGGAACAGGAGATAGAAGAATCCGAGAAAAGACTTCAGCTGGTAAGCCATTAATACCGGGTGTCTTTCCAATAGGCATTCTAGGCAGGACTTCATGGATTTCGTGTTTGTGCATTTCTCTCTATAAATTGTTTGCTCTTTCTGCTGGCAGACTAGGCATATTAAGGAAATGAAATGTATCCTGCTAATGTTAAACTGTTGATATATTTTCATAAAGAGATTTGTAAAAAGAATAAATATTGTCCCGTATTTCTGCCTGATCCGTAATTACTTGCGTGTCAAATGATCCTGCAGGTCTCATTAGGCCCGTGGCTATCTTTGCCCCCGAATATGCAAATGGGGCATTCTGTCAACAAAGACGATGAAAATTAATTTATGAAATTTCGGAGCCGAAACGATGATGCAGAACTAAGAGCCCGATGTCCTTTATCAAAGCTCATTTCAAATACTTTGCGCCTCTGCACGTCAATGGAGCATGTTGCCCATGAAGCAAAATTAAATTCCCCTTTTATACATACGATTGTAGATCGAAGACAGCATTCCGCAAGGAGCTAATCTTCCGGCCCTAGAGAAAGTGTTTCCCACTGCAATACCTTTTCGGTACCGACGCACAGACGCGAAACCTCAACCACGGTAAATGAACCACCCAAATGTGGCGGAGTACAAGTATCGAACGCATCAACGGCTACCATCGTACCTCAGCTCATACGAATGGAGGAAGACATGTAGCAAACTGCACAGTTTCGATTTCTGATTCACCTTTTTTTGCTGCAAGCTCGCAGTCCCATATATTATTCTTAATTATTTTTGCCATCTACCAATGCGATCAGAATATGAGGAAAAAATGCAACCTTTGAAAAACTCTCGAGTTTGTCGTCTTTCTTATGTCGTTCTTAAGCGCTTTCAAAGGACGAAAGATGCTGTTAGCTGTGTCAAAATGGTCCATCATTCTGCAATTTAAGAGATGCGCTTTCACGAGGAAACTGCAGTGATTTACTTATTTTTGGTGCCTGTGTGACCGCAATTGGAGACGAACTGACGAATCGCTCCGTATCTCATCATGGACGCTAAAAATCCCTGGATTCCGGAGAGCAGGAGGGATGCATTTCAGTGAGCGATATACGACAGTTCCATTGAGAGTTCCATTGGGAGTAAAAGGATAACTCTTGTCCCCTGGTTCAGCCGAGAGATGGGCAGACGACGGAGAATCTCTGATTTTCCGTGAAAGTTGCCCTCCCTCCCTTTCGTGGGTTTCGGTTTTGAAAATTTAATTTTGAAAAGGCACATCCTCGGATGATAAGGAAGAATTCTGCCGAAACTCCAAGATCATATCTCCAAGCGTTAGGCCTGTACAGCTATCGCACACACACACACACACACACACACACTCAAACACAAACGGACAATTGTCTCTCGGTCTAGCTAGCGGTCAGGATCACGCACACTATATGTATAACCTCCGGTTTGAATAAAAAAAAAGTTGCGAACATCCAGGTGATGGTTAGCGAACACAGTAACTTTTCCTAACATCTCCAGAGTTGCGAGCGGCACCTCAATGGGAATAGCTCTTCCAGGTCATGTGGTATTCCGTTCAACTTATCTATCTGGAAATTCCAGTGAAATTTTTACAAGTTTATCTCTTCTGTAAATCAGTGCCGGTCCTCTTGTTTTCATGACTTAGGGATGATATTCCATTTTCTTCAATTCTTGAAAATGGAATTTATATGCGTAACAGGCTGGTGTCTGTACTGTTGAACGATAATGTTCGAATAAAAAATCATGATGCGAATGTACACGAAACGAAATGGGAAAGACCATTGTTCCATGGATTTCTCTCAGAGAAAACCTTTCAGTGTGGAGGCTCATCCGTGTTGGCCCATAGTCCGAGTAACTCGAAAACTCTGGGAAGAGTATGAAAGTAAAACTTACCGTTAGGCAAGTTGTATAAGTACAAATGTGTATAATTAGTATGCGCAAGACGCAGACTACTAATTTAGTGCGATCAAAGAAATCACTGCAAGGATTATGTTATCATCATATGACGAAAAAACTTCTCATCCCCTCCATAATATGAAAGTGTTGAATGAAACTCAAATACGCACAGCTATACAGGGTGGGCCAAAAAAAAGTGAACCTCCCTTCAGGGGGTGCTATGTTACTCAAAAATGCTCTTTTTACTTTTTTGAAGCACTCAAAATGCAGCTGGTTCAATTCTGCACAAAAAAGAATTAAATCTTAACTGTTCTTCCGTCCTTAGTTTGGCATCAAAATGTGTTTGAATGCAATTAGAGGCAAATGGGTTTTCACCGCTCCAGCATCCTGTGCACGCGCCACGTGTGCCTCTTTCTCATTCCCCGGCAGGAAGGGAGTGCGTCCACCAGCAAGTGGCTAGTTGACTTGGTACTGTTGTGGGAAACAGACTTAAGCTGGGAGCTACCATCTGTCTTTCTGTGCAACTGTGATATGCTGCGATTTTTGGTCATCCTATCTCTTCAGTGTCTGCAACTGGTCCATGCTTCATGATTATTTTTCATTCCAGAGCCATGGGTGTTAATCAAAAGCTGAGTGAGGATGATAAGAGTGTCATTCGTGCACTTCGAAAGAAGAATTTTTCTCTTAACAAGATTCTGGAGTTTGATCCAGAACGTCAGTGGAAGAAAACGACGGTGGCAAAATTCTTGAGAAAACTTCGGGACACAGGCAGCTGTGAACGAAAGCCTGGAAGTGGTCGTCCCAAAACTGTGAGGACAGCTGAAAACATTGCAGCAGTTGAAGAACGAATTTTAAGCCAAGAAGATCGTCCTGGTACCAGTCAGAGTGAGAGGGAAGTGGAAAAAGAAACTGGAATTTCCAGGTCCTCGGTTAGGCGCATTATCAAGAGGGATCTGAACTTGAAAGTTTTCAAGCGTGTTAGGGTTCAAGAGCTGAAGCAGGAAGCCCAACAGAAGCGCAAGATTCGTTGTAAAGAGCTCCTTGACCATTTTCTCACCAATGAAGATGTGGAAGATATCTTCTTTACTGACGAAAAACTCTTCACTGTGAGGAGTCCCAAGAACTCCCAAAATGACCGTGTTCATGCTGCTACTCAGAAGACAGTTCACATTGCAGCCAATCGTCTTCTCCGTGAAGCTCAACATTTCACCCAGTCAGTCATGGTCTCACTGGGAGCTTCTTCCAGGCACAAGACGTCAGTGATTTTTGTGGAACGTGGAGCAAAGATCAATGCTAGTTATTATCAGCGAGAAATTCTGTCACCCATGCTAGCAGAGATTCAAGAGTTAAATCCTAATTTTGTTTTTCAGCAGGATGGCGCCCCTGCCCACACAGCTAAAACAACTGTTGCTTTTTTGACTGAAACCTGTGATGAGAACTTCATCAAACCAAACCAGTGGCCACCATCCAGTCCAGATCTCAACCCAATTGATTACTTTGTTTGGGCTGCCTTGCAGGAAAAAGTTTATCGAGGTGAAAAGGTTCGTGATGTGGAAGATCTCAAGCAACGAATCCTGTTGGCTTGGGAAGAGTTGCCACAGGAGTCCATTACTAGAGCAATTAAAACATGGAGAGATCGCTTACGTGCTGTTAGGAGAAATGGAGGTGGTCATGCAGAGCATCTTTTTCAACACTGAAGTGATGAATTTTTTTTGTCTGGTATGAGCGAGAGCAAAGCAGGTGCATTAGGAGTGGTTGTGCAGCGTCTATGGAATATTTTTATGTTTCACTCTTTTCATGCAAGTGCATTTTGTGTGAGAACAAATTGTTTTGTGGCAAATAATATTATATCATTTTTTGTGGAGAATTGAATGGCCTACACAGTGATATCATCATTTTTAAGTTTTGGCCAAATGCTTGGGAGAAATGATATTTCCAAAATGGTTCACTTTTTTTTGGCCCACCCTGTAAATAAATGTACCGGTTTATTCAATGGTCATAACAATATGCCCGAAAAGTCAAATTATTACGTAATTTATCACTAAATATATCAGGGCAACTTCTTGCACACAAAGGAATACTTATACGCGGCGGGAGCATCCTCCCACGATGAGGAAACCATGACCGCACACTTGGAGGAATCGTCCTGTGGGTATTCATCTTCCCATCTCTCGTAAGTGAAAGGGGATCCGTCCACCCACCTCCAGTCTCCGCTGCCGTCTTTCAAGAGTCCAATCCATAACTCCGCGCTGTCGAGCGTGTCCCCTAATGCGACCCCTATGAGACATAGAGCTAGCGATATTTGTTGATCCCCATCTGAAACACTTGCCATATCGGAGTCGGGAAAGCTCAAACAGTAGGCCCTGGCTTCATCGAAATTCATTTTGGAGCTCGATAGATGGGTAAATACGCCACCACAATTGTACCAACCAGAATCGTGAGAAACTTGAGAGGCACATAGGACCTGTCGCTCTTCTCTGCAATCACGATCCTGCCACTTGTCAGGAAGCATTTTAATTCCGCATGCGATATCATCACAAACATTGCCGAGAATCCAAGGATCTTCCCCGTCCCATACATTTTGGTAATCCTCGGGAGTATTATCGATGAACTCAAAGTTCCATGGATCCACCCACAATCCTTCCCCTGTCGGCTCAGCACCGATCCAAAGTGCTGCTGTTTTTGTATTTTCTTGCAGAAATATCTGCTCTGAACTCGAATGGACGCTAGCTAAGTCCCCTCCATTAGACAGGCAATAACTCCGAGCGTCTGTAAAGTTCTTCTGATTTTCCGAAAAATAATAGCAGTATCGATCGAATTCCTCCCAGCCATCGTCGCATCTGGAAGCCGTCATGTAAGACAGTTTAAATTGAAACCCGTGTTCGCTGCTGGCATCTGAGAAGAACCTGACGGTGAGTCGGTTCCCGACGGATTCGAGCATCCACGGGTGATCCCGGCCGCAGAAGGTCTGAGGCTGGCCTAGCGGGTCCGAGACGGTCAGGAAGTCTCCGCTGATGCAGTCGGGGGTGTCTTCCAGGTTGAAGTCCACGAAAGACAAAATGATCTTACGGGTGGGAGGTGCCTGTGGAGAAAACACGAACGACAACCTGGTACATATGTTCATGAAGTTCCTTCCGCGACGGTGAAAGGCCAACCTGAATTTCCCATTCGCAAGTAGTGCTTGGTGGATAGGATTCCGGATATCCAGGAGAAGCGATTTCCCCATGGGATTCAGTCAAAATTCCTCCGCATTCTTGGGCCGCCGACCCACCCAATGCGCACAATAGTCCCAACATGGGAAAGCAATGACTCTAGGAAACATAATGCAACAAAACTTTCAAATTAGCAATGCACCTCCTATGTTTCGGTGAAATCTCTCTAAAGTAACTTACCAGGATCATGATGGAGCGGTAAACGAGACGGTTCTTACTTCTGCAGGTATGGAGGATGCATGCAGGAGGGAGCTGGGATTTCGTTAGAATTCGAGGAAAGAATATTATTTTGGGGTCCAGAAGCATGGGTTCGTATGGGAACCAACACACCTGCCACATCACGTTTTTTAAAAGCGGCTTCAATGATGACGTATCAAAAGAACCTTGAAATGTGATTCTCAAGTATTTGCCATCTTCAGAAAAGTCACATTATCCCTATAATGTGATCATGATTGTGATAACAAACATATCCGAAAGTGGAAGTCGGTTTTTTAATGGATGGTGTGTTGCGATTTTGATTACTTCATTAGCGGGAAATTTGCATTAATACATTGTCGTATAAGAACGACGAGATACTGTGTATCACCCACGTTCCCGGAACAGAGAAGAATCCGTCGCAAGTGCTCTCACCCTCCCTCTCCACTCCTTCCGCCCTGTCCGTCGTAAATTGTCTATGATATTGGCTACTCCCTCTCGGAAAAGGCAAATAAAAGGTCTAATTGTCTTCGAGTCGCTCAAAACCTCATTACGCCCTTCTCACAATTTTTCGCTTTTTCGGAGACAGTTTGTGTTCCATCTTCAGTGATGAAGAAACCATACTAACAACTGTTCATGCACAATATACGAAGAGTCACAGTCTTCTGAGGCAACATCTCTGCCTCATTCAAGCGAATGAGTGAAATGAATAATTCCGTGTCGTCAGAGACATTCATGATAGGCCGGTCATGAGACTGATGTAGTTCAAGTGCATGAAACGGAAATGTTTGTCTATGATTGTTCACTTCTGAATTCGGAAGCCAAGTTGTGCAATGAAACCTGACGGATTTGTTTTTAATTCGTCACGACCAATCAGTTAAGAATCTAAACGCGATAGTTCGGATAAAACTCATGCGCTTCCAGCCTTCCTCTAAGAGGAAAGAGTGCTAAGAAAAACAGGGAAACCACCGTGACAGGCGATTTGAAAATGTAATCACGTTCTGGGACGTGGCATGAAAAAGATGAGAATGAAGTATGTGGAATGGGAAGAATGACAGCTGAGGAGCGAGAAGAATGATGGCTGAGGGGCAAGAGGGACAGTAGCTTCCAGTATGTATTACTGTTGCGACACCGTTATGTTGAAACTTGTTATCTTGTCTCCTCCGATTCCAGGAAATGGAGAGAGGGGGAAATGTGTTTTTTGTTGTTGCTTTTTTTGCTAACCTAGATAGGAAATTATTTTTTATTATTTATATTATTATTTTTATTATTTTTTGATTTTTATTTTGATTATTTTTTTCCCGGAACGGGGAGGTCTGGAAAATAAAGGAAATGAGTCTAAAACAGATTTTTAAAAATCAATCTGTGTCACATCTACCATTGTCTCCCACTTATTTTCACTGATACTTCAATTTTATGTAAAAAATGCTTTATTAGGCTTTCAAAAGGTACTAATTCAATTTCCGGGCACAAGAATGGTCGAATTAGGAAAATGGCAAACAATTATTTTGTGGGAATATCATTCCAATCAATGACTGTCATGTATCATCGGAACCTCGAGACCGAGGAGGTTCAAAGTCCGAACAGATTAGTCAGCAGGAGTTCCATCGTAAACTAGAAATATATAATTCATGATGAAGTGTACATAATGCTGCTTCGCAGGCTGCTTCCAGGAACAATGAAACCGCCGAGAAGGAGCAAAAAGAAATGCACGAAATTCTCTAAATCGATATATATTTTAATCCGTGCTCGAAAGGACTTTTAAGCAATTGAGTTTTCAACTGCAAAATGTGTACCCCCAGGGAATGTACTTCCAAAGTCGGAATCTTTCTAAACTCTGCATCCCAAAAGGTACAAGTGTACCAAGTTTCAGATTTCTAACTTCTCTAGAACATGGTTAGAATTAGCGTCAGTCAGTCAGTCAGTCAATCAGGCACGACCGTCTATATATATTAGATGTTATACGTATAATGGTATTATACTTTTTTGAGCGCATAGTGCCGAAGTCGCTTTCGTAGAGGCTTTCATCTTCACATGGAGGGCAAAGAAATTCGCTAGTAAGCATATTGTCACGCATGCAGATTGTCCTCGTGATCGAATCCGTCATGGCTGTCACGGTTTACCTCATTTACACGTCGGAGTAATTTACATACTTCTTCCGTTATGTCGAAGATGGTGATGAGGGAAACACCGAGACAGACGCCTACGATTCCTCCGATGTTGGACAGGAGATCCAGCCGGGTCACCTTCGGTTGCTCCAGCATGCGAGGCACCTGTAAACCATTCGATTCGAGAACATTCCCCTGGCCGGAACAAATTGAAGGGGAGAGGGTCCGAAGGAAATTGGGGAAACGAACCCGATTCGAAGAGAAACTGAAGAAAGAGAAAAGCAAACCTTTCGTTTTGTCTTTCTCTCCGTAAACGTGACGGAACTCGCTCGGATCCGAGATGTGATACTCGGCCACGTTTCATCTCTAATAGAGCAGTTGCAATCCGCCTGAATGTTGTGCTTGCCATCTGTGAAACTCCGCAGTTTTACGTTTTGTTTCCACTTCATCTTCGACATCTTTACATTCCGGTTTCGTCAAATTCGCTTCAAGGGGCAAAAGGAAGCGGACCAGACAAGGAATGGCTGGGCGGGACTGGAAATTATTCCAGAAGCAGTTCTCCATGAAAACAAATTAACCGGTAACGAACGATGCATTTCAAATTTTCTTTTGTAGGTTGAAATGTAAGAGATGAACTTACCCTAGTATAACTGCAGTCTTCATGATTGATACAAGGATTTTATTTTCGGCTCTGTTTGTGAATCACTTCAGTTCGAATAAATATACTTGTGACGGAATTGTTGTAAATTGTCAACTTTTCAAGAGTGAACAGATACAAATTTGGGAATTTCCCCCTTTGATCGTGGTCGAACAGTATGATCTATGTCTGCTACGTGGAACTGAAAAACAAAAAAAAACATTTATATGTATGGGATTTAAACTCGGATTTTTCTTGAGGTATGCGAAATCGAATTTGAAGAGAGCTGGACAAAGTAGAGCTGGACAGAGATTTCTCTCTTCGAAGCCAGCGTGGAAAGGAACACTTGAAATACCGGTTGATTCCGTAGTACCTGTAGTAGTACCATCAAAAGTTTGTCTTCTCGCTCCAATGCCCACCTTCTACGCGTTTCGACATATAACGTAACCATAACCCATTACTTCTAACACTTGCGCAAAAAATCTGAGGACGCTCACCCAATAAGGAATAAATGGTTTCGCTACTGATGCTGAACACGTTCATCTCCCTCAGTTCTAAGTAATTAGCGTACTTGATCATGTCGTGTAACGGGACCGAAGCAGCCGTGAAGTTCTGGAAGAACCTATTCACGGACTCGTCGTCTCCAGGTTTCGCAGACTGTGATGGTGAATCCTGGAGCCTTGACCTCATCCAAATCCTCGATAATGCATAATGTGCCAGTCGGGAAGGACTTAGTCCACGATAAGAAGTACTACATATTGTTCCCACTTCGGGTAATACAGTATTTTTCGAGTTCGAATGGAATTCGAATGAAATCGGTTATAGAATATTAATGTCTAATTTCCACTTACTTGCCTTACGGCCAAGGCCGAACAAGCCAGGATCACCATCGTCTTCAAGATCAACCGCGCTTTCTTTCCTTTGCAAGGGAAATCTTATTGCTGCCAAAAATGTTCTTTTCGGGAATGTATTGTATAGTTCTCACAATTTCTTTGGATTCCTGAGACTCGAAATTCTTGGTGATTTTTTCCGTCATTCCAGGAATAGAATAGTATACGTCTTCACTTTAGAATCTGTCTTTTTCATCTTACGTGGTCGTAAAAAATTGAATTTCTTTTTGTTCACTCCCAACCATTTTTTTGCTGAGCTTACTATGCGTACTTTCACGAAGTGACAATCCATTCGATCAGAGGAGAATGGGTTGCCCACACAGTAATATCGGGGTTTTTAGGTTATGATGCTTGCTAACGAATTGCTCAGGAAAAGAAATCGACGCCTAACATAATAATTCTCAACATTATATTTGAATCACAATAAAGCTCAATATATGCTCCATTGATTGCCTACACACATCGAGTCCGTTCTCCAGTTCGTGCCAGACTCATATGAGAATCCCATGCATTACCAATTCAACGGAATCTTGAATCCGTTGCTTAACCGCTTCACAGACGTCCACACCTGCGACTTATCTAGACACGCTGAAATGCAGGTCCCGCAGGGTATTTTTCAGCTTTCTTTCTGCCGGGCTACGCTATGGATAGGCTTTACTCTGCAAATGTTACACCACTGGAACAGTTGAGTAATAGAATTCAAGATGCTGCTGTGTCAGTAACGCCTTCCACATTCTTCCGTGTGTCTGGCAGGAATTGGAGTAGCGACCTGATTTGTGTGGACTACCAAGGGAGCACATGTCGAGCTTATTTGGCATGTAAGTGAAAGCGACGATGAAAAATTAAAAACTCTTCCAAGTTTCATGTTCTGACGATAATACTATGGAAGTAGCAACCTACAAACCCGAATATTAATTTGTGGAAACACTGCATTCTTTATCCCCGAAGTTCCATCAGAGCCTCCCAATGACTGTACATGGAGGAATAAGATCAAGCGACCGAAACCTTCTTTCACCTAACCCGTATGTTGAGAAAAAGCGTTGTCGTGAGTCAGCGGACTCCCAAACTTCATGCTACGTGGGGGTACGGTGCAAGTTTCCGCTCAAAAGGTTCTCCTCGACGTTACCGGCACGATAACAATTTCTTGGTGATAGAACGAAAGATAAAACGCTAGTGATTTCGCTTCATCTTCTTTATTGAGAATGTTGGAGACTCGGGTCTTGCTTCCCAGGGAAATGATTTGCATAAATTGTAAGCATCGTACTCTTCAGATGCAAACAAAGTCAAGAAGTGCAAAAAAGGAAAACATTGTACCGTGATTTTAAAATGCGGAATGGCATAATACTATCAATACTTTGTAAACGATAATAAAAAGGCAGCATTTTGACGAAATTGTGTCCCATGAAACGTATCAAGTGCGTGGATGCTATATGTATCGCATGAAATTACGTGCGTGTTATTTCAACCATTTTCGGCCATTTATATTCAATAATTCCTCTGACCTTATAAAGGATTTTCATGATTTATTTTTACAATAATGTGATGATTGTTCAATATACGAATGTGTTATGTATGTGTGGGTGTGGGTAAGTGCACTGTTTTAGTACAGCTTTGTATACCCGGGTGAGCAAAAAAGAAAACGCAAGGAACATCTAGGAACGACATTTCTTGGGTCAGGATGTGGACGATTCGGTTAGGAGTGTTCTTCGGTAGGCCAAGAGCGCGCTTGAAGAAAGTATGCTTTATACAGTAAGATTCGGAGATTCGGAGTGGTGAGGTGAGGGCAGATACGAGATTGGTAGGATTCCCGAGCGAGAAACATTGATAATTTGCAAAAAATATTATTTTCCCGATTTGCGTTACATGAAAATTTTTTCCCATTCAAACCTTTATGTGCCGCAACCGCTGCATCATGGTTGCGTAACAGAATGATCGGGTTATGGCGGGTGCGATTTTGAACGAGATTGGTATTGTTTCTAATGGAGAAATATTAATTATTTCCTATATAATTTCATTTTCCCGATTTGCGTTAAATAAATATTATTTTACCCATCCAAACCTATTTGTGCCACAACCGCCATATCATGGTTGCATAACAGATTGACCGGTTAATGTCTGGCGTTAATTTCAAGGCGATTGGAGGGGTTTTTAATTTTTTAATTTTTTTTAATTTTGCTCTTTTGTAGAACGCATGTACCTCCAATTTTTTGTATTTGCTATTACTTCTCATGTCATTGGAAGAAACCCTAAACATTTTATTTTTTAAAGTTCATTCCTTCACTTGAAATCATTGAATGCAAGGTAGCTTCATCCTAGCTTAGTCATTGGATCTTCAAAGGATTATTTTGTAGTTCTGCCTCTTTAGCTCTTTTTCTCTGCCTTTTTTCAAAGGAATCTAGTTCTTCCTTGGTCTGCACAGCATGTTCACGTACATCAATTTCCATTCTTCCATATCTCATCGCAAGCGGGCTTTTTCACAGATGATAATTCTTGTCCATATGTTGCCGAGTGTCACTCGCTTGAGTCGTGGCCGTTCGAGATCTTCCTTGTACGGACCTATTCCTCGGATTATTTTCCCATCTTCTGGTCTTTGTCTTTGGTCTCTATTCCATTTTCCTCGGGAATACCGCAGATCACCAGGCTTCTTTGTCTCTCGTCCGCATCTCGGTATTCCTCTATCACTTCCTTCATTGGGGCTTTGTGGGTCCTTCCTGGTTGCTCTACACAGAGAGATGCTCGAGTGTTCTGTGCTTTCTCCTCTTGCAGATTGACGACTTTCTGAAAAAGTTTGGCTTTCTTGTCGTTTTTTTCCCATCTGAGACTGAGCATTCTCTTCTTTTAGGAGGATTATTTTATGATATACTGTAGTTCCGCAATTTTGCTAAGGATTTCAATCTTGTCTTGAAGGCATACATGTGAATTGTCTGCAACGTCGAGAAAGTGGATATTGCAGCGAGTGCTTCTTTGTTGTGTTAGCTTTTTGCTCACACAGTCTTCGAAGTTGGACATTAACGGTGTAATTATTTGGGAGAATTCCTAGTTTAAGTCTGCCTGACTCATTGTCCGAGAGCCATCCGTTGAGTTCCTTTTTTCTTGCTGTGTGCGAGCAGATTTTGACGAAGTATTTCAAAATGTATTCTCCACCCTTACAAAAAGGGACACAAGAAAAGATTTCAAGTTAGGCACAATATAAATCATATAAGTAAAGATTTTGATAAAAATCAAGGCTTTTGTCACCCATTTATGACGTATGTCAATGGGGACGTACTTTAAATACGTGTTTGCTATTTCGCATGGAATAAATGAATTAATGACTCCAAGGTAATGGAGCGCCGAAGGCGCAACCTAGTATTCAATACATGCCTCGGCGTGCTTCACCAAAACTAAGCTTACCAACAGCCCTGCACCGTACCATTCACAAACGGCTTCATCTTCATGCCTACAAACGGCATTTGGTGCAAGCACAGCAGCCAATGACAGACCACAGCTTATGGCATTCGCTATTCTGTATCGGTAATCGGATGTATCCGTTAGATGTGCGGAGAGCCACTAACGGTGCACATGTGGAAGTCTACTGACATGTCAGTAAAACTCTGAGTTGTGGAGCAAAATGGTGAAAATTTCATGTT